CTTGATATTTTACAGGACAGTAGCATATTTCAGTAAGGTTTTATCTAGCTGTAGCAAAATAAGACCTTGCTAAAAGCTTTTTCCTTGTACAACTATTCCCTAACTAATCTCAGCAGGGGAAAAAAAAAAGTTAGTTTAAATAGGTGTTTTACATTTTATCTGAAGCATATTAGGAAATAGTGCATAGTAGATCAGTGCCTGAGGAACATTTGACTCCATCTCCCAAAGCTGATTTGACAATTAAAGCAGAGACCAGCCAAGGAGCAGGAGGACCGTACGTGTGCAAGAGCACTGTTTCATACTGTAAAGCAGACATTAAAAATAAGATTTAGTCAGTTATTGATAGAACTGGAGGGAGGGAGCYGAGTGACTTGCTGCAGAATGAAATCACAGAAACTGGAGATGAAATCAGAAGTCTTAGGTCATCTGCTCCACGCGCAGCCAAAGCAGCGCTGCAGCTCACACATCCCTCTTCCAAGCTCCATCTAAATGAGATAGTGGGGACACAAGCCCATCAGCATCACAGTCTACCTCGACTATTATAGTCTAATAAATACAGTCCTAGTGCATCTCCTGCTCCCATTTCTGTATTTATGGAGAGCAAAGCTTGTGTTCTAACTGCAGGGTCCTGTCCTAAGCAATTTCTCCAATTCCCAGATCTTATAATTACTTGCTTGGTTGCATTTCATGTTAAAATAATCACCAATCGCCAATCACCACAACCAAGAGCTGCAGATCCACCTGCCCAGGACGTACCCCCTATATCATGGAGCTCACCAGACCGATACCAGCTTGGCTGCCACAGCTAGGACGGCTGTGGACAGCGCTCAGGGAGCTCCAGAGCCAGAAGTAGGAGCTGTCCCTGCTCTCCTTGGAGAGCCACAGCTCTTCCCCTCCAGTGACAGCAGCATCTCCCACCCGCTTCCTCATAGGAGGAGAAGGAGCAGATGCTCACCCCGGGCTGAAGAAAAGAAAAGTTCTTCCAAGGGAAGGCTGGTGGAGAAACCAACACAGGTTCGAGGCTTCCCGGTGACGGGCTCCCAAACCCACCCAGGAACTGAGAGCTCAGGCCAGAGCACAGAGCCTTCTTGTAGAAGGCACCATCTCCTCCTCAACAGACCTCCATGCCCTGGGCGAGAAAACCAGCATCTTCCCTTTACACTGTATTGGGGCAGAGAAAAATAAACAAAACTTGGCAGGAAAACAACAAAAAACATGAGTGTGATACAGCCCTGTCGCTCCAGAGCCCCCTCTCCATGCAGGACACACAGAGCCATCCTGGCACATGAGGGAGCCTTGGACCTCCTTCTGCAACAGGCCTGAGATGAGGTCAATTTAGCACAACTTAGGACACGCAGCCAATGCTTACTGCCTTGCAAAGGCAGATTTCTGGCTTTTATAAACATCACAGGTAAGGCGCTGAACTCACTTTGATTAAAACCTACTGCAAAAAAGACCAAGAAACCCGAGRTTCAGTGGCTCCAGCTCCAATTCCCCTTTCAGGCACCAGAAAAGTAAAAGAGCAGAGGAAATGCCTAACACTGCATAACTCTGCTGTTCTGGGATCGTCTCCCAGTTCCCAGCACTTGGCATCTTGGGGACCTCTTGAGCTAAGCCAGTAAGTGCAGATACGCTGAGGTCTCTGCAGGATGAGCATCTAGGGAACTCAACGCAAGRGCCTGGGAGCTGCTCCGCCTTTTCATGGCAATCACCTCCCGGGCTGTGCAGCTTTTACAGGTCTGTATTTCTCTTGCTGCACAGCAAAATGTCGCCTTATGATTACTGTGAACTTCTGAGCTACATTTTTAATCCACTTATCACTGTACTATATTATAGTTTAAGTTATAAGTCTTTCCAACCAACCCAATCTAATAATTTGGTAAAACATAATACATGTGTATTTTGATGTCTTTGCTTGGTTTATTGTATACGCACACATAAAATATGAAAGCAGAAGCAAAGAGGACATCACAAGAACTTCACTTTTTTCAACTACAAGCCCCCTGGCCGTGGATTCCCTATTTGCTCTCCAGAACTTCTGGATGAATATTCCCCAGAATAACTCCCAGGCATTTAAATTACCACTTTTGCACAATCACTTCACTTCCAGCCCCTTGGCTTCCCAGCTAAGGAAACTGCTGCTGCTGCTGYAAAACTTGGCCTTTTGCAGCTCCCTTGTGAAATCAATAAAGCAGAAAGCGCCATTCCAGGAAACAGAGACTTTTCTTCTTAAAGTACCAACCCAACAAAGGCAACTGCTGCGTCCACTGCTTTTCCTCCACTTTGAGCCAGTAACAAAGGGGAAGGAAGGAAAAAGAATAGAAGAAAAAACAATAAGCGCCAGGTCTGGGCGCTGAATGGATCCCCCTGGGAAGCTGCTGGCCGGAGGGGATGGAAATTGCCGGGCATGGCACACACGGGCTCCCAACCACCGCGCTGGGTGTTTACCCACAGCCCGACACAGGGAAACAGGGAGCCGCATTGTGCACCCGCTGCCGTGTCASCCGGCCCCGCGTCACCCGGCCGGATCGCCAGGACACTCTGCCAGAGGACGCGGCAGTGTCGCTTACACAAGAGAKGCGCAGGATGCGGCGCAGGGAGGAAGGGGAAAGAGGGAAGATGCAGCCCCGCTGTCCGCTCTTCCCTGCTCTCCGGGGCAGCTCCACGCTGCGTTTGGAGCAGATTAAGTTTAAAGGGCACCGGGGGATGCTGAGAGTCGGGACGAGCCCCCGCTGGCAGCATCGCCCGGTGAGATGGTGGCCAAGCACAAGCAATAGCGGCGATAACACAGTTACAGCGGGGAAAACATCCCGGTGTCCCGCATTAAAATACATAYATGTATATTTTTGCATTGATATCCTAGCACTTTTCCTGTAAGTGACCTGAAAGGCACCCAAAGGAAACWGCAAGAAATAGGGAAAAGGAACCAAAATGAAATAAAAAGCACGAAAAAGCCGCACCAGACCCCACAGAGCCRGGCTGGCCGGACCACCGGGGCCCCTATTAGCCCTAAGGGGCTTCGCAGCGAGCACCGGGGCTGCGCCTCCGCCGCGGTCTGCTCGCTTGCTGCTGCTGTCGCTTTCATTATTATCGTGTTCGTTATTATTATTATTATTATCATCGTCATTATTCCTGGCAGCGATACCCACCCCACGTCGTCCCGCGCAGCAGCGCTTGGGGAGATGCGGGATACGCGGGGCACGCAAGCCGGCTGGCGTGGGGAGGGAAAGAAAGGAGGGTAAAAGAAAAAAAATGAAAATAAATAAATAGGGAAAAGAAGTGGGAAAGGGAAAGGCGGG